TATATATATAGATAGATAGATATAGATATAATTCAGCAATCCTTGCTGATTATGCGACAAACGATCTCTAGTATCTCTTGGATATTAAGTGAATTCGATACCAAAAATCTATGTGTGTCTCTATAGTAAACCCTTCTATCCCAATTTCCGAGTAGTTCCAACACCAGTTGTAGGAGCGCAAAGTGAGCAACCTGATCAAGTCTGATCGCTGTTCATATGCCATACATGGATAAGTTCACCATACTCCCTAAATTCAATCTTTAAGAATCACCGCTGTTATTGCGGCCTCCGCTTGCGATCCAGTGCTTCAATTGTGTGTATACCGTATGTATATCTGCTCAATCTAGAGGGCTATGATATCATACATAGTATCGAATGTTGTTCCTAGACTGTGGACTGTAGTGTAGAGGTGTATTTTCAGTTGCCATGGATGTTGAACTCATCGGCTGGTCCGTTGATCTAGAGCGCAAAATATCACCAAACGTAAAAGCAATGTGATACAAAACTTCCAATAAAATCAATTATAAATTTTGAGTAATATTTTTCAATAGAGAGAGAACAGTTGACCCTGGTTGTCCACTAGAACACCCCTGTTGTACCTATGAGCCACTAGGACACCTCTCTTGGAATCTCCTGACTTTCCCTGTCCCTTTCTTGACCAACCATTACAATCCCTTGACCCTCCATATACGAACAAGTTATCTACATACTTAACGCTTTTTCGCTGAATATTGGCGTGGCAGGATTGCGCGCTGAAGCCTGAAGCAAAAAATCCTGATTCTTGTGCCGACACTCGAGAGCGACATTGCATTGTGTTTAAATATATGCGGCTTACTTGCTCAATTCAGGAGGCTATGTGTACGGCTTGTATTCAAAGTTTACAGAAATGTAACATGGGTTAAAATTAGTTTAGGTAGGGGATCGGGGAACGATGGATTACTTAAATGCTTATTGGTGATAGTCGTTACGAAGACTTATTATATCAGGCAGCCGAGACTGCAGGACTTTTCTGCGAAAGATTCTCGAGCTCCGTTTGTCTGTACTTAGCGTAAGTAAATACCATACCGGAGAAGATTCCGAAGGCGATACTCACGCCTGACGCGAACGATATAGGTTGTGCGAAAAAGGAAAACGATAAGATCGTTAGTGGAATCTTATTCAGGGAGCCCACCATTGAGTAGGTAGTTGGTGAGGTTTCGTTGATACACCAAAACACAGATAAGCTCAGAGCTGTGCCTATGGCACCACTTATAACCAGCGATACTATGAAACCAGTGTCGTAGAGGTACTCGAAGTTACGCACAGCAACCAATTCCCCTGTCAGAAGGGCCGCAGGGAGAGTGATCATACAAGTCAGCAAATTATTGTAGTAAGACATTCCCCATTGGTCAAGTGAGGTGTTCTTCTTGGCCGTTTTGATGTACAATGTGTACCCACCAGTGGAAATGCAATTGAGTGCCATCCATATATATCCCGTCAGGTTGAACGAGAGGTCTGTTCCTGCTGCGAATACCGAACCAGCCAGCATCAGACCAAGTGCCATAGCCACACCCGTTGATACCTTTGAGTCGTAAAGGTACTGGTCTCCGTAGGCAATCATTACGTTGGTCAAGTTTTTGAAGACGGTTACTAAAGGTATTGTCAAATAGTTCAGTGATTGACTACCAGTATAGAGCATCGCGCAGAAAAGCATAGTGGCGGGAAACCATTTTTTTGCCGTTTCAAAATTAAACGAAGCCAATCTTATCTGACCTTGTGCTCTCAATATATATAGTAAGGCCACGTTGATACCACATTGAGCTGTGAGAAGGAGATTGACGTATTTGCCAAATCCATATGTACTCAGACAAAGCTTATTTGTATATATCATGGTCATGCTACACAACGCATACGAGAGGACCGACAGGATCGCTTTGTTCGGTTTCCTGGTGGTGTCATGCAAAGGTGGCATTTTTGCTATCGTAGTCATCCTAAAGTGTCGACGTGTAATTTATCTGTGATGATACACATATTACAACTAGTTTATATGTATGCATTACTTTTATCAGACTCAGACGAGTGACAAATGTTCGCCGTTCAAGAAGTTGAGTCAGTGAACACTGAACAGTGTTTACTGTTGAACACTGTCATGACCCTCTAGAAGTGTAAAATTTAAGGGAGAACGAACAAGTCCGTAGGACAGTACACACTATTCAGTGTTCAGTGTTCTGTGTTCCAACTTCTATTAGAAGATGAGGTCACGAGGCTAATAACTCATTTTACTAAAATAGTAAATATATACTCAATATAATATTGCTTTACTAAAATTCCGAGCAGATCTGACTCTCGACACATGTGTGTGACAGTGCGAACTATAACAATTGACAATTGACAACGTGTGGCTGTGTGCCACAGCTGTCAGCCTGTCAGGTCACTGTGACAGTGTGACTGTGAGCCTGTGACTGGCCTACCTGAGCCTGTGACTGGCCTACCTAAGATATTTTTATAGGACTAGTTCGTAAGATGAAAACTGTACACACTAATGTTTGAGACTTTGAGTTTAGACTTTAGACCCGCAAGGTGCAACTGTGAGCATACTAAGGACCGTATATGGAATAAAAGTTGAACGTAAACGTCTAATTATGGGGTAGACTATATGTATGTACATATGTGAATATAAATTTTTGTTTTTCCAACAAAACTATAAGGGTTTAGTCATACACAGAGTAATTATTTACTCAATTGCAATTTATATTCAATTTTTTTTTAAATAGTAGTCAATACTTACTCAAGACTGAATAAATACATAATAATATTTTAATTTTTATGTATTGACATTCAATATTGTGCAATTGCTTTTTTTTGGTTAAAAAGAAACAAAGGATATTCCAACAAATCACCCTTTTTGATGTAGGGCTTGGGTCATCGGACTCTGGGAGTCTAATTTAATTCTGACAAAATTTGAAAATATTGGCGCTTTCCTGTATGTGCCCTTCAGTTCGAATTTTGGACTTTTGAGGTCAGAAATCGACATGCCCGGTCATCCCTAAGGTCTGTCGAAGTGTCACAATTTCAAAACATCATTCTACCAGGCCTAAAAGTCTATTTTAGCGTGAGTGAGACCCTCATATCTGCACTGATCGCTTTAGTAGTCATACACACGTTTGTGGTCAAACGCCTTACAATACACGATGCCACCAAAGACAGCCAAGTATCTGAGTGGTTGGAGGGATAAGAGACACTCTCTACGTGGAGCTGACAATAAGTTTCGATCTGTCACACACGTACAGGATATGAACCTGATGCAGACGAAGACACAACTAGTAGCGAATGTGATGTTGGCATTGACGCTGATTCCGCTCAAAGCAAAAGGTCACAAGTAGTGGTAGGTCTAGTTACTGAATAGAATTGTACACCGTTGTTGCCAAAGGGCATGAGCATAATTGGCGTATCGATATCTTGATTGTTATGATAAAGGCTTAACGCTACAGCTTTCGGAGTTTGCAAAGAAAAAAATACACACCACATTGTCGGGTGCCTGAGAATGTGTACGACATTGTCACAGTCGAGATGGCGGCCAAGAATTGAAAAGATTGTTTTAAATAAACAACACTTGTATTTCATATAGCGCTGTATAACCGTTTATTTATTGACGAACACAGGCTTCAAAGTTTTCAAATCGACAGCCGACTGTCTATATGTACCATATGTGGTTGAGAATAAAATGGCGGCTCCCAAGTTCAGTATTGGCCGCTCCCAAGTTCAATATTGGCAGCCCATGGTCAGTATAATGGCCACTTCAATAATGGCCGATTTTTTTAAGGCAGTTTTAGCTTCCTGTCATCAAAACAATCACCACTGCGAAACCCGATTTTGAGATTTCGAATTTCTTCAAGGTGTAAAAATCGACATATAGTTTTTTTTGGTGGTGCATCTTTTTTTAAGACCGCAACTGCACCATTGTTGACATTTGCAACTTGCACAAGTCGCAACTGGCAAGTTGCAGGCTCGCAGGACGCAGATTAAAGTTTTAACTGTTGACACTCGACACTCGGTACTCGAAATTTTATATTTAGACGTCAATCAACGCGATTGGCCGATTGCACTATATGTTGATTGGAGACTACCATTTTCCACAAGTTGCATCTCAAACGTGTCTCCTTAGTGAATGCCCAACTCAGATTAGCATTACCGAAACACAGGACAGTATTCGAATGTGTAGATTGGATGTGCGTTGTTGCTCAATCACTAATGAACCAGGCTAAGTACAAGCGAGCGTGATACAGGGGTACCTATTCATCGCGAGAGAGTTGGGCAGTTCGGACTCCTTCTAGTAATTAATTCTGATAGCTCGAAAATTGAGTTTGTAGAGAAGCCCAGCGAATAAAGATGGAATCCAGTTCGTTATGTCTGGTCATGATGAAGAAAGGGACAAGGAAGCTTGTTCGCACATAGATATACATAACCTATAACGCAGAAGCAATGATTCAATGCTAACACAAACCTTCACATGGACGTGTGCGTACACACACCAACACTCACACACAATCTCTCACACACACGTGTACAAACATGTAATCCACATACACGCACACACACACGTGTACACACATGTAATCCACACACACACACACACATATATATGCATTACACACACGACACACACAATCTCTCACACACACGTGTACAAACAT